GGTAGGGTATGACGACAGTAGAAATTAAAGGGGGACGCACAATGGACCAATAACTGGTCTAAGTGCATGGGGAAACCCACCCCCTCTAATAATAGTAATAATAATAATAATAATTTACGTATGGCGGTTTACCGCCAATCAGTTCGTCTTGGCTCCGAGTTCCTTGAGACTGAACAATTGCGGTGATTAGCTTAGTTGGGGGTGGAGTCCAACTGGGTCCACTCGGCACAGCGGCCACTGATTGGCCTATTATACCTGCCCCGTATGTTTATGATGATGGAGAATTCGGTGGCGTGAAGATTGGCAGGGGAAACCAAAGCACTCGGAGAAAACCCGCTCCAGCGCCACTTTGTCCACCACACATCCCACTTGACCAGACCTGGGATCGAACCCGGGCCGCCGTGTGCCCACCCCTGACACCTGTTCATGTTTAATATGTTCAGTCCGTACCTCACAGGCAACACAACGTCTCCATAGTAACCACCACCCGGTTAACTCTGTTCAAGGATATAGCCGCTGTTTGCAGTGAGAATCATATGAAATACACAAATACATTCCGCTCACAGGTAGCAGTATTTTTCTTTGGCATTAAAGAAGTGGTGCCTATGGTTACCACTGTTTTTAAAGGGTTAATCCTTCCGATGTCTATGTGCTCAGTGTATCATGTTTGTCGCGCCCAGTTGAGCTGAACACAAAAGGATGTCGGGGGAGGGGGCTTCCGGTTCGGTCCTATTACTGAAGAAACGGAACCAGTGCCGCGGCACAGAAAACTGGATTACCGTCCGTGGATCCAAACTTTTTCCTCAGTCCGCTGCGAGCAGACAAGAAATTAACCTCATGAAGGCTTCTGTCTCGCCTTAGTTAGGCTCCCAACCCCAGACATCGCTTGGAACTTGGTGTCGGCTACGTACAGACCCGTCGGCTTGCACTGGGACGGACGGACGGACGGACATCCATCCAGTGGTGTGCTGAGAATATCGCAAAATAACGTAATTTTAAGCGGTTGATTTTTGCTACTTGTCTTCCAGAGGTACATGGTTCGAGTCATGTCCCGAAGAGTGTCTGGCTGATGTTTTTCATGGTTTTCCTGAGCCTCTCCAGGCAATTACCGGGGTGTAGTACCTAAGAATTGGATCAGAAACGCTCACCTCCACATCCCTTCAATTCATTATTCCCTATTCATTCCAACAACTCGCGCTATTCATTGAGTGGAGACCGCGTGCAGGTAGCAATACTTGCTAAAGTGGCCAAAAAAATTCCTCTCATTTTGTGAAACCCTAATGGACATTACTTTGTTGAGAAGAGCCCCAATACTGAACCACCCTATCCTGAGCTAGATGACTCCATTCTCACACACTACTCTATTTTAACCAATTGTGTTCATGTCTTCCAAATGATTTTGCAACTATATTGTCTATTCATTTCTTATAGCTCTCATGCGCGCTACATGCCTAGCCCATCCTTATTGACGTGATCATTCTAATTATATTCTGTGAAGAATAGGAATTGTAGAACTCGTCATTAAGCAGTTACCTCCACGTCATCACTTCAGTAACTTCAAACTCGTGTATAGAGATGACAGCAGCCTAATCCTACCCAGATATCTGTCCTCCTTTCCTGCATAACACCCCTAATGCGCAACCTATCTGTGAAACATCCCCAAGAATTGTTTCAGCTCCTCTGTACTTTCATATCTTACTTCGCGCTGCGTTCTACCCAGTCTCTGCATGTGGTTCAGCTGCGATGACCATAACGTAAACCGGGAGAGAGTGAGAAATCGGAGGGGCCTACGAAGTCGATGGCCTGGCATGTCGAGGACCTAGGCACTGCTCAGTAGCCTGAGTGTTCGTGAACGAAGTTACCGAGCAACGTTAGGCAGCAAGTTCTGCGAGCCTTCATAGGCAGTGGAGGAGGAATTTTGGTTTTCTGATTGAGTGGCATGATTTGGGGAAGTAATTTGGGACCGTCCTGGGCATATGCTTTTAATATTGATTTTATATCGGGAGGGCCTTAATAGACGCATGCTCGTCTGAATAATGTTTGAAAATTCAGGTTCCACAGCACAGAAAACACACTGCACTCACTACAGAGCCCAAATAAGTTAATACTGTTTGGGGAAATAAACGCTGCTTATTTTAATAATCGTACGGGACACACAAATATATTCTGATTCCATAATATAGGGTTTCTTAATGTTAAAGCAGGTGGTACATATAATTACCATTGTACTTTGAAGACTGGTATGTAATAAGTACAAAGATGTTTACTAAGTCAATTGTCAAGGTTGTGATGTATGAACCTCGAACGCTGGCCCGGTGACGTCATTGATGGCCATACTGTTGCCATTTGGCCAATTAATGGCTTAACTTTGTTGATTGCCGGAAATCTTTCATTAGGAAATTAATGGCGTTTGTTCAGCATTGTGGTCTCTCTTTCTCTCCTTTCTTTGAGTGCTCAGTAATTGAACAGAGGTAAGATAATCTGCTTTCTGGTCTGGTCTGGTCACCCGGGCCGGACGAAACGAACGGCAGGGAAAGCACTCTGGAAAGAGTCGAGTTTCTTGTAACTGGATATTTTGTCATTGAAGTGAAAAAATTTGCTTCTTGTATCCGATCCGTTTTTTTTTTGTCTTGCTGAAATGCCGTTGTAAACTGGCTACAGATAAACGCGATAAGCTGCAAAGAACACCGTTTGTTATTTCGCATTGCATTACGGAGTGAAGAAGACTGCCTCAATGGTCTAGTGGTCAGAGTTGCTGATTACAGATCCAGAGGTCTGGGTTTCGATCCCCGGCGCTACCAGATTTTCTGAGAAGTAGTGGGTCTGGAACGGCGTCGTTTCTTGAGGATAACTGAGGAGCTACTTGAATGGAAAAGTAGCGGCTCCGGTCTAGAAAACCAAAATCAACGGCCGTGGGGATTCGTTACGCTGACCAGGCGACACCCTGTATCCGCTAAAGTTGGCACTAACTACGCCGAAAAGCGGCGGTCGCTCGGTCGGTATAATTCGCTTACAGACTAAAGCCACCAAGTTTACGGAATGAAGTTCATGACGCCAGTTTCCCAGGAAACAGATAGGACACAACGTCAGCTTATGTTGGGTGTGTCCCAGAGTGTGAGACATTTGGAAGTTGTGCCTCTGAATGTGTTCATGACGGCATTTTACAGTCTTCCTTCGGGTGCTGATGTTTTGTGTACTGAAACTTCTAACACTTGCTGAAGCTTCAGAGCTTAGCAATCTAGTATAGACAGAATGTGATGGAATTGAAATCCAACTTCAACTGAAATGTTTAAGGTCCGGTGGTTACTATACCTGTTTTCACAGACATCAACTTTGCTTTTCCCCCCACACAGTGTATCTGTATGTTCCGTATGGTTCTCACAATAAACAGCGACTTTTCCCTAAACATCATTAACCGGTTGGGTTTTGTAGCAGAGACATAATATGTTTCCTGTGAGGTACGAATTGAATTCTTTTATACTATTCAGATCAGATCAAGGCTTCGAAGGGTTAACTGCTTATTGCAGTAATATAGTATATGCATATAAAGGGTGTCCAGGGAGGAAAGGTCAATATTCTGGCCATTATAAGCAAAAAATTGTATATGTAGATGTGTCCTATTCCGAACGATTTCTGAAATACAGCTGTTTCAGTGCGCTGTACACTGTACAGGCGAGAAACACGCCATGTCCTCACACGAGTTGCAGTGTGCATTGATGTTGACTGTGGAATTTTCGAAAATGTATTATACAAGGTAAACTGAACCAACTTTATCACTTGAACAATAAATACTGGTATTCGAAACAGTAAGTAATATCTCTTTCTCATCAACAATGTTGGAACTGTACAGTGAAATAGCTGTATCCCGGAAACCGTTCGGAATAGGACACGTGTACATATATACTTTTTTCTTTAGAATGACTGATACTATGACCTTCCAGAATATTGACCTTTTCTCCTGTGACACTCTGTATATGTATGTATGTGTATAATGGTGAAGTTGCCCTTGCTTAATTAATTAAACACTATGCCATGAAGACGTGTGGGGGAGTAGAGGTATAGCTTCATCATTTTTGTCCTCGGCCCTAGGTGAAGGTCAGTGGTCAGCTTCACTCCCCGGCCGCTTTATCCCTAGGAAGTCGCCTCCGATACCAGTTGAACAGGGGGCTGGGTGGACCCCAGAGCCGGTCTGGACGCTGTGGAGAAGAGAAAGATCTTTCGTCTCTGCTGAGAATCGAACTTCGGCCTTCCGGCCTGTAGTCTGTCGCTATATCGATTGAACTATCCAGACTCCAACATATATTTATCGTTTTGCAAATATATGTACATGTTACGGTAAAATTAAATAATTGGTAATTAGGAATAATAGCCGGTAACTCATATAGAATTACCAAAATCAGTGATAAATGTGATAAATGTCGTGTCATTAATTACCTTTCCGTTAGTTGTGAACAATAATAATCGCTAATTATTCATAATTACCTGCAAAACTAATTATTGTGACGAGATTTTAATATTTGCCATTGTTTTGGGTCACTCTGTATAATTACCGGTTCATTCACATTTACTGTAACATGTACCACCCAAAAGTCATATTCCTCAAACCCAAGACTTTACCGGAAGACAGAATTTATACTTTCAAATCTTTTCCGGCTTTCCAGACCCCTTTTCTTTCGGGTCTGCATAAGACGCACCACCTAGCTCCTTTTATACATAAAGTTTACTAAAGGAGAAATGGGGTTTAATCCTCCCTCTCTATACACATTGGTCTGTCCTTGTTCGTGAGTTTCCGTAGATGCTCGGATGTTTTCGGTCTACTCCTCTCGAGCTTCGTCAGTAGCTGCCTATCGCGCTCGCGGACCGGTTCAGGCCGCTTGTTTCTTGCTGTTATACAAGGGACAAGTACAAAATTTGCACTGACGCCATTTGTCTGACGTTTTGAAGTGGAATTTTTTTTGGCGCTGATATGTTATACTACAATAATAACTATTTACCTGTTTCATTTAATTACTTATAACGTATAAATATTGTCATAATTGTACCGTTGTATTGTTGTAATAATATATAGGTTCATATTGTTGTAGTTAGGAGATAAGGAACATTTTACTTCATCACATTTACTCATAGTGGCAGTTAATACATTTTTTTCGATATCTATGGCAACGTAAGTGTTGATATTTGTTTTTTTAGCGATTGTGCGTGTGTTCGTGTGCGGTTCAATGCATTTTTTTGATGTTCCATTTTCTTCAGAGGTGATCCACGCAAGTAATTCCAGTTTTTTGTCGTTTCTTTCATATATAAGCAATGAACTGTTAACAGCTTCATCTGGCCACGTCTTGTCCATGCTAATTCCACTTGAGTAGGATCTGCACAGACACGGTAAGATCGGCTTGATGTAACTTTTCAAATGAACAGACTTTTATTTTAAGTAGAAATTTCTCATTAGTATGTTGGTTCCTAACAGTTCTAACCTAAAACAGAATGGATGAATTGAAAAATGTCCCACGATAACTCATTACACCAAGGATTACAGGGTCTCGTTTTTTGCCTTAAGTTTACATCTTTTGGTAATCGCCTTATTTTCTGTTTTGAATTTTCCTGTTGTCTCCCCTTAACAGAATCTTACCCTCAATCCTTCCGGTGGACAGTAAATGAGATTAACCCAGTTTAACGGGACCCGTTTAATAGCTGTCCCCTTATGTTGTCACCTGAAGATGGAAACATATCTAGTTTCCGAAAGTTGTGTCCCTTGGGAATACGAGAGACAGATAAAGCCCAGTACCTGGTTACGCAAGGTGCAGTAAGTTGAATGGGAAACAGATGCATGTTATAGAAGTGATTTCAGGTAGTGAGCGAGTTACTGAAATGTTCTGACCAGGTGTCCGTGCTTCAGTTCCAAGCGCACTGTGCATGTTCTTGTCGTCTAATCAATTCTTTCCGCATTTGTGTAGGAGTTACACAGACAAGAATAGTTTATGCCCCCTCCGTGGCCACAGTTGGAGAAGTCACGCTCTGATGTAATATTTACACCCCCAATAATTGTATCATAACCAACCTCATGGAGCTGAGCCCTTCTTGAGGAACCGCCAGTTGTGCAGCTATTCAAGAACTTTCCAATATTATATGAGGACCCGAAGGTTCATTACCGTGTTCACAAGAGTTCTCCACTGGTCCCTATCCTGAGCCAGATCAGTCTAGTCCACACCACCCCATCCCATCACTCTAAGATCAGTTTTAATATTAGCCATCCTTCAACGTCTTAGTTTTCGTAGTGGTCTCTTTCCTTCTGGCTTTTCCACCAATAACTTTCTCCCCATGGTCTCATCCTCGACTTAATCATTCTAATTATACTTGAAGAAGAGTAGAAATTCTGTCGTGAGAAACCCATGTCAATTTCCCATCCCACAGTACGTTACTTCGCCCTGCGTTTTGCTGTCGTTAGGTTGGTCTGAGCTGGGTGCATCCAGTAGTCAAATGGGTGGCCATATTGAGACCGCAGTACTTCTTGTATTTCCGACATTTGCATCTGGTTGTACCGTGTGCTGTTGTAACTGGTTAACGTACCGACTGCGCTGTCAGTGACCCGCTTGAGAAGTCCAACTATTCGAGAAACCATCCGCCCTTGTGTAAAACATCGAAGGTTTACTACCATGTTTACGAAGTCCCGCCACTGGCCCCCTGTCCTGAGCCAAATGAATCCAGTCCAAACACTTCTACATTATTCCTTTAAGATCGACATCAGTATATTTTCGTCTACCCCTGAGTCGTCGTAAATGTGTCTTACTTTCAGACCAGGCTGTTAGGTCCACTTAGGAGAAATTGATAGGCTATGTAATTATCATGTCCCTTAATGAGATTCCTTAGTCCCTACCAGTACATGACGTGGCTAATAGATTACAAAACCTATTCTAATATCTTCAAACAAAACACATCATTAGGTGTCTGTCACCCTATAACAGGCTTCTGCTGTAATCTGACCCTTTGAAGCCCGGAGTTGAACTAACTAGCACATACAGAATCAATTCTAGCGTCAAACAAAACGCATCGTATCCACATTACAAAGCCCAACCGGTTAATATAGTTTAGGAAAATAATCGCTGTTTATTGTGAGAACCATACGGAACCCACAAATACGCCGTGTGGGCAGCATGCAAAGTTTTAGTATGTTAAGGCAGGTTGGTATACATATCAGGAGCACTAGGCTTGAAACGGCTTGATTGTGTCAAAACGATTTAATGTTTGTTTCTGTTGTCGACCTGTGAGAGCCCAGAACAATTTTCTTCGTTGGTTACACCCGTGATTATTGTGCTTTGTAGTCAGAAGGCCCACGCTTCGAGCATGAACCTGGACGTCAGTATCCACACAGAATTTGTTCGTCCTTTCCGTTTGTACCTCAAGGCTAATACTTAGACATTAACGCCACGAGCTTCTTCAGCGTTTTCCAGTTCCTTATCAAACTCGCCCCGCCCCAGAACTTTCTGTATAGCGTCTGGAACAAGAAACATTGCGAGGGTCGTTAAGTAAGCAACAGCGCTGAAGTGTGCGCTGTTGAAGGGGTGTGTATTGGGAGGAATGCGGCTGAATAAACCCTGGCGATTAGTTCCATCATTTAAAGCGGTCGATTACTCTTGCGTGTTGCGGGTTAAGGCCATTCATTTGTTTCTAGTTAAAGTGGGGGTGACAAGGCCTGCAGTGGCGTGTCCCCCTGTGTATCTCATTCACTCAGTAATCTCACATGGAACGGATAGACACACTCAGGACTAAAGCAGCCGTATCCGCGCCGAAAAGGAATGATTTCACTTACAAATATTCACGAAGAGAGTTTCGTATTTAACGCCCTGAATGTCCAAAGTTTCTTATAAATAACATTTAGAAATTCATCGCCTTTTTATTGCAGAAACACTGCGTCTCGGTTATAAAGACCAGTCGGTTAATATTATATAACGAAATAAACTGTACTTACTGTGGGCGTGGGCCAATTGCAAATTTTCGCCTGTTTTCCTTCTCTTGATAAATTAAACGCAGGCTGATGAGATCATCCATGCCATCTGTATGCCCTTGTATCCCCTCCCCATCATATTCTGAATGCTTGAACCAATCTTTATGAAATTTGGCATGTATATCGTGGCAACTGAGCCCGTCTCAACAGCGTACTTCGTAAATCCCTCCCACCAGTCTGTGTGTGAATCACCTTGTCGTTGCTAGACAATGGCTCGGTAAACACGTTCCAGCGGCAACGAGGACACGCAACATCGGACGAATTGTTGGACGCGTCATTTTATATACGGTCCTTGTCATATCAAAGGAGAGTCTGTGTGTCTGTGTATCCCCAGTATGTATGTACGGCCAAAGCGGTGGTCTGTAGACTCCCCGAGCCGTCAGAGAGTAAATATGGTCATGGGTCCCGTGGTACTCGGAACCAAACATCACTGTGCTGACGCGGGCTAGCAGCAACTTGCTGGACTGTGTAACCCCATCGTTGCTAGGCAACGGCTCGGTAAACATGTTACTGCGACAACGAAGAATTGTTGGAGGCTTTGTTTTCTATGCGGTCCATATCCGTATCAAAGGAAAGTAGGCAATTCTTCCCAGAACGTCTTGTTTTATGTTAGATCTCGAAGGAGTCGTCATGACGTATATAATAGCATTTTCTCAGTGTTCGCCCGGGTGCCTGAGGAAGCGCACGGTAAATCAGCTTACATTTTGCCCCGTACATATGGTCGCAAGTCTAGAGCATAGACAAACTGCGAAACGGCGGAGCTGAGCGGTGTGCTGACCCGAGTTCAGTTTCATTAGTGTGTTCTAGTCTCTGAACAGTTGCACAGACTCACCTAGTGGCGATGTCTAGCAGGACGTGACGTATTACTCACCACCGGAAGGAGAGCAGTCTGTACCGCTGTACCACATTAATGATGGTACTGGTTGACATAGAGAAGTCATTACTTAATTTGACATCTTAAAGCATAGTGGTTACTATATGTACCACTTCCTTTAGCGTTAAAAATTATGCATTCCCCCCCCCCATACATAGTGTATTTATGTGTTCCGTAGGGTTCTCATAATAAACTTCACTTTACAAAGGCTAGAGATATCTGTGCTTGTTACAGTTCCCATTGGTTTAATGAGGCTAGTTCTACACGAGATCTAGTGAGCACTTACCGTATCAGCATTTTGTAATTGCGCCCAATACCGGACTGCAGCGATTGGTTGGTTGGGGGGGGGGAGGTGGGGAGGGGACGGAAAAGAGAAAGCCGCTCAGGTTCATAAAGCAGGAACTTTTTTGTGGCTCGCTCTAAGGCTCTGTCAGTAGCCATGTTTACATAGCTTGGAACTGTGAAGTGAACTGCATGCACGAGTTGCAAGTCCGGTATATCTGAACTACATAACAATGAGTTATATTAGTGTTTTGTTTATGAAGTGAATATTTTTTTTCACATGCAGTTTCTCTATCACTAAAATTGTAATGTTACTTATATCTTGTTGGTGTGTTGGTTTTTGTTTGGTGCTTAGTGTAGCTGTTCTTGTTGTTTCTGTTTTATACGGGGGAGCAAGGTGTGTGTGTGTGCGTGTGCGTGTGTGCTGAACAGGAACTCATTTCCTGCAGTGTTCTGAATATCTGGGTTTTATGTATCACGAGTAGCTTATTTTTACTGATGTTACGTATGTGGTATTTTTCTAATGTGTTTAAGTGTTTCCCTTTTTCGAGTTCTTATAATCTCCATTGTATCTGCTACGAAGACACGTGCTTTTGAAGTGTGAATTTTTAATAAAAAGGAAAGGCAAAGGTATCCCTGTAACAGGCCGTGGAGGCACACAGGGTTGTGAGACATCGAGGCTCCCGCATTTTCTAGAGAATGGGCTCACAGATGGCAGTGAGGTTGTGAGCTCTACGCGCCGGTCGCCTTTACCCCCAGGAAGATTCCCCGGTACCGAGTATGTAGGAGGCTGGGTGGGTCGCGTCCTGATTCCTCGCCCGTCCAGTCGCTCTGCCGACGGCACTAGACGGGGCAGCTAGGCAGGGTTCGTCATGAGGCCCTGTGAAAGAGAAGACGCCGTAGCAGGTACCGTATTTCATCTTCTGGGAAGTGACGCCGTGTACATCGACATTTCGGAGAAAAAATGCTTCCATTTTCAGGGTCAGAGAATAAGCCAGGTAATCTGCTTGCTGCTTGCTTTACTCTTCGACCCCGAAGCTATGCCAAACCGCATGTCCTTACATCCCATTGCTGCGCCGTGTGCATAGTTCTTGCCTTGGGAGCCGTACATTGGCTCTGACTGTGCGTGCTTGCGTGCGCGCGCGAACTGCCATCTCGTAGGGACGAGACACACTAAGGACTGTGGCATGTCTTCCGGGCTGACGAATACAACCTGTGACACAC